AGACAGGCACAGCAGGCAGGGAGGGGGAGTTGCCCTTTATGTTAGGGATAGGCTGGAGAGTATGGAACTCTGTCTGGGGACAGGGGAGCTGTCCACAGAGAGTTTGTGGTTCAGGGTTAAAGGGAATGTAGCTATGGGAGACATTACTGTGGGGATCTGTTACAGACCGCCTGATCAAGAAGAACCTGTGGATGAAGCGCTCTATAGACAGACAGGAACAGCCTCATGCTCACAGACCCTTGTTCTCATGGGGGACTTCAACAACCCTGACATCTGTTGGAGGGATGGTATGTCCCGGCACAAGCAATCCAGGAGGTTCTTTGATTGTGTGGAAGACAACTTCCTTCTGCAAGTAATAGAGGAGCCGACAAGGAGAGGTGCCATGCTTGACCTCGTGCTCACCAACAGGGAGGGGCTCGTTGGAAACGTGACTCTCCAGGGCAGCCTCGGTTGCAGTGATCATGAGATGGTCGAATTTGAGATCCTCAGGACAGTGAGAAGAGCGTGCAGCAAGCTCACTGCCCTGGACTTCAAGAGAGCAGACTTTGGACCCTTCAGGAACCTGCTTAGTCAGGTTCCATGGGATATAGCCCTAGAGGGCAGGGGGGGCCAAGAATGCTTGCTGATATTCAAGGATCACCTGCTACAAGCTCAGGAGTGTGGTGCCGAAGGAAGTGCAGCAGGAGGGCCAGGAGACCTCCTTGGATGGATAAGGAGCTCCTGAGGAAAATTCAAATGAAAAAAGAGGCTTATAAAAGGAGGAAGCAAGGACAGGAGGCCTGGGAAGAATACAGGGATGTTCTTTGGAAATCTAGGGACCAGGTTAGGAAAGCTAAGGCCCAGTTTGAATTAAACTTGGCTAGGGATGTGAAAGATAATAGGAGGGGATTCTATAGGTACGCAGCAAATAAAAGACAGACTAGGGACAATGTGGGCCCTCTGCAGAAGCTATCAGGAGAACTGGCTACATAGGATTTGGAGAAGGCTGAAGTTCTTAATGACTTCTTCAGCTCAGTCTTCACTGGCAAATGCTCTGACCACACCACTCAAGTCTTGGAAGGCAGACATAGGGACTGTGAGAATGAAGACCTTGGGCCCACTGTAGGAGAGGATCTGTGGATTGAAACCATCTTAAGAACCTGAACACACACAAGTCTATGGGACCTGACAAAATCCATCCGCGGGTCCTGAAGGAGCTGGCGAATGAAATTGCTAACCATCATATTTGAAAAATCATGGCAGTCAGGTGACGAGTGGAAAAAGGGAAATATAACCCCCATTTTCAAGAAGGGGAAAATGGATGACCCAGGGAATTACAGACCAGTCAGTCTCATCTCTGTGCCTGGCAAAATCCTGGAGCAGATTCTCCTGGATGGTATGTTAAGGCACATGAAAATCAACAAGGTGCTTGGTGACAGCCAGCATGGCTTCACTAAGGGGAAATCCTGCCTGACCAATTTGGTGGCCTTCTATGACAGGGCTACAGAACTGATGGACGGGGTAGAACAGTTGATGTCATCTACCTGGACTTGTGTAAAGAGTTCGACACTGTCCCACATGACATCCTTGTCTCTAAACTGGAGAGACATCAATTTGATGGATGGACCCCTCGGTGGATAAAGAACTGGCTGGATGGCCGCACGCACAGAGTTGTGGTCAATGGCTCAATGTCCAGCTGGAGACCAGTAACGAGTGGCGTCCCTCAGGGATTGGTGTTTTGGGACTGGTCTTGTTCAACATCTTTGTCGCTGACATGGGCAGTGGGATTAAGTGTGCCCTCAGCAAGCTGTGTGGTTCGGCTGATATCCTGGAGGGAAGGAATGCCATCCAGAAGGACCCTGACACGCTTGTGTGGTGGGCTGTTGCCAGCCTTATGAAGTTTAACCATGACAAGTGCAAGGTCCTACACCTGGGTCGGAGTAATCCCAAGCACAGCTACAGGCTGGGCAGAGAAGAGATTCAGAGCAGCCCTGCAGAGAAGGACTTGGGGGTGTTGGTTGATGAGAAAATGAACATGAGCCAGCTTCAGTGTGTGCTCGCAGCTGGACAGAGGCTTGGGTGACATGGTTTAGTGTGAGGTGTTCCTGCCCATGACAGAGGGGGTGGAACTAGATAATCTTAAAGTCCTTTCGAACCCTAACTAATCTATGATTCTAAGGTCCCTTTCAACACAATCCATTCTATGACTCTGTTTCAGTAAACAATATTGTTCTGTAATAACAGCATATTAGTAAAAAGTTCAGACTGAGGATATGATATCCAAGTGTTGTAAAGGTCACAGAATATCATATCATGCGATATTCAGAATATTCCACTTTAAATACAGAATGAGAGCATGATATTACCCAATACTTTACAATACATGAAACCAGGGGCAAACAAGCAATAAAAGACAGCAAATTCAATCTAAGGTAAAAGTATTATCAGTCTAATTACATACTGTCTATAATTGCCACTACAGTGTCAGGAACCAGAGGGACTACCATGCTCTGGTTCATAGTCCTCACCTTTTCTGAGCTGCATGGAGAAGTCTCTTCCTTTAGCCACATAGTTGCTGTTATGACTCCTGCTTCTACCCGTCCTTCCCTCTAGAACAGTTAAGAATGTTTGCAATAAAATTTTTTATCTGTTCAAGTTAACGAAGGCAGGCCCAGTTTTAATTCCTTTTTACAGAGGTCTAAGCACCAGAAACACAATCAGCAAAGACCAGGCTTGCATTTTGGCAATACACTTACTGCTCTTTGATCTAATGCGTATCCTGCAGTAAAAGCAACATACTGCAGAAATTTGGAGCATTTGATTTACACACTATTTTAATAATTTTAAACTTTTTTCCTAAAGTAGAATACCTGCTTCAATGCTGAAATTACATGCCATGTTTTAATTTAATTTAGAGAAGTCTTGAGCTTAATATCCCCAAGGTTACTCTTGGGTTTGCTAACTTTGTGTTACTGTATTACTTTCCCAAGCCTCCTCCTAGCAAAGGCAAAATAACACAACAGAGGGAAACAAACCTGGAATAAAGCTGCAATAAACTCCAAGATGCAATTTAGCTGCAACAAACATACTGGATACTGCATATACTTAAAATCAGTTTGCACTATACACTTGAAATTGGACCAAAAAAGACTTCTTTTTTAGAATAACTAAGAAATTAAAGCATAAAGCCTCAGTTATTTACTTCTATCCTGTAACGTTTTTAAATACAGCATTCTAAAATACGTGTTATTAGATAGCTTTTGACACCTCAAAATGTACTATATAAAGGTTACTGTGATCTTAAAAAAGTATTCCTATAATCAGAATTCTGGCTTATATGGTCAATGATCTACTGATGAATAAAAGATACCTGTACACAGTGTTAACTGTATGTGAAAGTATTATAACAATAACTTATGGCATTTTTACTAGGAAAAGAAACATATTGGCAAACTTTAGAAAACTATAATCAGAACTTTTTCCAGTTTTTTTGTTTGATTTAAGGAAATTCAGCTGGTCTACATCAGAGTCAGGAATTAGCATGCCTGTTTCATTTAATGCACTTCTAGACAGGTACTTTTTTAAATTTCACCATTCAGCTTCATAAAGTGTTTCCATTTAAAATTGTAACAAAATAACTCATGAGGAAAGCAAAAATATAAAACTAATAAACAGAATTAAAAGGGTAAGACTTCACACCTCCAGGATGTCTTTGGTAAGACAGGACCCATGAGTCCTAAGTTTGAAAAGGTTATGGATTCCAAAAAGCTCTCCTTGATGTTCCTTTGATCCTTGCACTGCCTCAAAATACCGCTTGGCATTTTCACTTCCAACCACCGCACAGTGAAGTTGCTAAAACAGAACAACACAAAAGATTTCAGAAGTGTTTGCTCCAACTATGCATCAGAATTTCCCGGCATCCACATTATATACACAACTTTAGTTGGAGCAGCCAAAAATTCCTAAGGGAGGATATTTTGTTTTGATTTTCCTGGCAGATGCCGGTATAATAGATTGTGTTACAATATGAACCTGCTTGGTTTTACTGAATTAAAAAAAAATAAGAATATTTCAAGTCTTTTACTTCATTATTGTCTGATATCAGACATCTGCCGTATACACTACTGACACTTCTCTGTACCTTGACTTCTCATCTTTCATCAGTACTGAATTTTTACTAACTTTTCCACAGTCCTTTGCATTGTATGCTTACTTGGTAAGGACTAAATAAGGCCCCAAGATTACTCCAAATAATCTCTGAATATTTTAATTATCATGCACTCTAAGTACACTGAACAGAAGTGACTTAAAAATCTAGGTAAAAAGGAAAAATGAGTAAATGGTTTGTCAGGCAGAACTAAAACATTTTTGCAGTCAGGCAGGTTTCATTGACTGTAAATTTTCAACACTCGGATAACTGGTCTATTTGATTTTAAATTGAACATCAAAACCATGGTTTTATGGATACAAGACTTGTAATATTTTTTGTGACAGTCTCTAAGTAGTTGGTAGTTCTTCAGTTCTCCTCCTAGTTCTAGCACTGAACCGGCATTTTCCTGGACAGCACATCCCTGGAATTATACAGGCCAGTAACTGTACAGTCAAATTCTAGTTTAACCTTAGCCAAGCATAGTTTACATCTTTCTTGAATTACTCATATTATTTACAAAAGTATACTTTAGGATACATATATCTTACCTGGGTTTCTATTACGTTAGATTTCAATTTTATTTACATCAGATTATTCAATCACAAATGACGAAATCAGACAATCAAACACCACAAATTAAAAAAGAATTTAGCAATTTTAAAGTCAAATAGGTCCCTTGGTAAGAATACATTACAAACATGAGAAAGCGTTTTCACATAAACTGATTTCTGAAAAGCACAGATGACAACATTTAGCTCCCTGAGAGCGCATTTGTATAGTTCACCAAAAGCCATGTGCCCACAAGTACTCTTGGTTTCTGAACTTTCAATAGCATAAAAACGCATTTGCTTCAAAACAGACTGAAAATTTCCTGGGTTTGTGTCAGTATCAGGTAATGCAATTCAAGTGTAGACTAAAAAAATTAAAATTAAAGATTTATTCTGTTTATTGCTTCCTATTCAACTTGAAAACCACAAGTCAACTTGGGGCAAGAAAAGACAAAAATGCCTCCACAAAAACAAACCAACCACATGAGACTTTCAACAAGTTTTATAGATGCCTTTTGGAAAACTAAACAGACAATGTCCAGGTCTTCTTTATCTACAGGATTACCAACTGCAAAGACCTCTGTGAAGCATGACACTCCTCCAGGATTTTAGTGAATACAGCTGGTGGTAAATTGCTATTGCTCATTTTGTTAGCCTGAGATCTCACCTACTGATATCTGCTGTTGAAGTGAATCCTCCTACGTACTTTGCATGACAGAAACTTTGAAACAGGATGCTCTCTAAGCTTTTCCATTAATGTGGATATAAAGAGCAAATCAACTAGTTTTGTCGGCAATGAACACTCCTTTAGACCTTGCTAAAGTAACGTCCATAGAGCAGTGCAATTCCTGCTCCTGATGCGTTTGAAAACTAAATTACTACTCTAGAATCATAGAATACCCAGTTGCGAGGGACCTCAAAGAACACCTTGGCAAAAGCAAGGTCTAGCAAGATATCCCAGCACCCTGACCAGCCATATCATAAATGCATCCAATGTTGCTTCCCTGGGGAGATTATTCAAATGGATGATTGTTCTCACTGCAAAAAATTCTCCCCTTGTGTCCAATTAGAATCGCCTTGGGAGTAACAGGTACCCACTACCCCTTGTCTTTTCCGCACGGCTTCTTGTAAAAAGGGGGTCTCCATCTTCTTTGTAGCCATCCTTTAAACACTGCAACATGGTGATAAAGTCTCCCCTAAGCCTTCTTTTCTCAAGGCTGAACAAGCCCAGCTCTCTCAGCCTTTCCTCACACAGCATGCTTCCCACTCCTCTGATAATCCTCGTAGCCCTTCTCTGGACCCATTCCAGTCTGTCCATGTCATTTTTGTTAGGCACAGATCAAAACCAAACACAGTATTGCAGGTGTGACATGACAAGCAAGGAAAAGAGTAGGATAATGATTTCTTTATCTATGCTGGCAATGTCCCTGTTGATGGAACCCGGCATCTTGTCAGCTTTCCTTGCTGCAGCTGTACACTGTTCACTCATACTAAGCTTGTTGTCCAACAGGACCCCTAGTCTCTTTCCAGAGCTGTTCCACAATTGGGTAGATCCCAGCCTGTGCTGCACTCTTGGACTGCGTTTAGCCAGGTGCAAGCCTTTCCACTTTTCCTTGCTGAACTTCATATGGCTCTTGCTTGCTCACTCTTCCAGTCCATGTCCTCCTGCAGACCAGCTCCTCCTTCCAAAGTGTCCATTTCCTGACTCAGTTTGGTATCATCAGCAAAGTTAATAAGGGTACACTTCATCCCATCTTCCAGATCACTTATGAAGGTACTAAGCAGTCTTGGGACCAACATTGAGCCCTGTGGGACCCAACTAGTGACAGGTCACCATTTTGAAGACTAGCTATTAACCAAGTTATTATGCTGATCTCATTAGGAAACAGTTGCTAGATTCTGTGTTCCTCAAACTTCTGGTTTGCCCAGTCTTAGGTGTCTAAACTTATCAGTGTAACTAGCAAAACTTAGAAAGAGCAAGTGTTCCAGGTGCAGTATTGTGGCAAGCTTTGTTACAGCAGAACTACAAGCCGGTTTTCCCTTCTTTTACAAGCAAGTTTTTTAAAGGCAGGAGAGCCGCAATGCCTTCTTGCTTTTCTTCCATAGCACCCAGTAAGATTTTTGCTTCTCTTTCTCCAACCCTTCATTGGAGGGTTGGACAAAACCAGACTCCAACCAAATCAGACTGCTGCAGAGTCTAACTACAACTCTCAAGGATATATTTTACAAGTCTTGAAGTTTTTGGTATAACTTGATAAATGTATATTGTATAATTAATCTGTCCAAAGTTACAGAAAAACTCAAATACAAATAAAATTGTTTTATTCTTTAACAATTACTTAAAGTTGTATCTTTGCTTAATCAGTTAAGGTAATAGCATATATCATGAAACCAAGGTAAACTACAATTTTGCTATAGGCTAACTTTGCTTTCAGTCACAAACTGCTTCAAAGATATCCCAATTTCAATAGTTTCTGAACTTTACCTGTTTATAAACTTGTCGCAAGTACATCATCTCCTCCACAGTTCCCAAGGATATCAATCTGAACACTTTAACAGGTTTGTATTGGCCAATCCTGTAAGCTCTGCAGGGAAAACAACATATTAAAAAACATTTTTATCTGTTAAAAAGAGAAAGCACTCTTACGAGTAGTAAAATAAATAAGTAAATAAAAGAATTCCAATAAAACTGTAGTACTCTAAATTATTTATGAGTTGGTTGTGTTTTTTGCTAGTTTTTGTTGGGTTTATTTGGATTTTTTGTTTGGTTGGGTTTTTTACTTTTCCAAATTTTCCTCAGTATTTAATTCCCTTTACCCTTAGTTTTCAATATTTCTTCCAAGGTTTATCCAGTTGAAAAGTCCTTCTCCTAAGTTTGTACCACAAGGCCTGTCTCCCACCTCTCTTGAAAACACATCTTCCAATATGTTTTCTCAGTTGTGTTTTTTCGCCACCCCATCCCGTGTTCCATCTGCTCTTGCATAAGGTATTCTCCTATTTGCATTATATAGGAGTTAGATCACAGGATTACTTGGGGCAGTCTGTTCTTTCTTAACTTTATAGATTACTTTGCAAGTCACAACATCACAAAACAGCTAATAAACAGGCAATGTTCTATCTAAATGGTAAATTCTGAGACTTCTAATAGATTATATTCCAAAAATTCAACAGAGGCTGATCCAATTTATAGAAATGTGATCTTACAAAGATTCTTTAAAAGCAGACCCTTTCAACAACACACATTGCTGAAACTGGTATTTCTCTTAGAAGCCAGAAAGACTCTTAAGATGGAATTCCCTAATTGGAAGGGACAACAGAAACAAGTTTATTTCTGCTCATGAAAATACACATGTATCTACAGAATTTACAAGGCTTCCAGTATTTTTTACCTCAGCTATTCAAAAGTCTACCCTGAATTCCTAGGCAAGCATCTTACGGTCAAAAAGCCCTAAAAGAAAAATCCAGATTCCTGGAAACACTCCAATGGCATAATATCAGAGATGGGAGCAAGTGCTGAAGAGACACTAATCTCCACAAGTGTGAAGCAGAAAAGAGAATAAATTTTTTTCCAAGGATTCTGGAATTCAAAACATCACTTGAACGAGGGTCAACTACAATGCATTTTGTCTTGACAAACAGGAGAAATGCCATCCAGCTACAGAGACACACACATTCTAGAGATCATGAAAAGTTACAGGAGCTACGGTTTGTTGTCTGCTTGGGTTTTGGTTTGGTTTTTTTTTTTTCTGGTGGGGCGGGGGGGAAGGTGTGGTGTTGGTGTTGTGTTTTGGTTTGTTTGTTTGGGGATTTTTATGACCCTACATAACAGTGCCACAAAAATAAAATGTAAAATAAGAAATAAATTTCAGGGTTTAAAATATCAACACTAAAAAAAAAACTTAGCTAGACATCTCTTACTATCTCATGGACAAGCAAGGCTACATTAAAAATTTCTTCCCCGAGGAAAATTCTAGTTGAACAAAGCTAAAGAAGAATACAACTTGGACTGAGTTCTGTATATTGAGAATATACCTGTCAATAGCTTGAAGATCGTTTGCTGGGTTCCATGTAGGATCAAACAGTATAACAACACTGGCACCAACAAAATTAAGACCCAGTCCACCAGCCCTAAAAATATAAAAAAGAAAAAATAGGACTATTTGACAGTAAGAACAGAACTCCCTCTCCCCCACCCCACCCCATGTATTAATTTCACATTGACATACCTTTCCCCTACATAAAAAAGACCACAATAGAGATACTGAAAATAGTGGGGTATAGCTTTGTGTTACTATTGTGTTAATAACCACTAAGTACTCAAATAACCACTGCTGTAAAATGCAGTCTTCTCTCTTAAGAAGTAGATTACAAACTGTATGACTAGCTGTGATAACCAACTGCTATCACTTTACTACAGTAGAAGCCCTATTACTTCATACCCACTAAGCCCTACACAGGTCTACTCCACCAACGATTTTACTGAAATTCATAACCACTTTCAGGCCAGTTAACATTACAGAAGAAGGAAAACTATAGCTTAAATAAGAGTCTGCATTAAACTTTACTTCCTCTAATCCCAGTACATAGTTTCACAGTAATGCTATGCAGTTTCTCCTAAAACGGTCATAGTCTAGGGTATGTCATATCTTTAAGAATTAACAATGGTCAGTTACTTGGACCTTGGCATATGCATAGCTGAATGTTTTATTTTGGAGGAATAAAAGTAAGGAAAATACCACTTTTCATTCAGCAACAAATCAGGCAAATAACAATTCTTTTCAACTGGCTCAACCAACACTCCTACAGGAAGAGACAAGATACTACACAAGCATGTACTAAATACTATTATTAATTTAACTATTAAAATAATTCTTCACATTGACATAGGCAGCACTAATTTTTAAGGGTGGTTTTTTCTGAGTGAGGTACTGCAAAATTGAAAATGTCAATCCCATTTAATTTATCAAGCACCTAGTTTTGGAAGATTGTATTTTGCACAGGGAAAGTTAAAATTTTCAGGTATAAGAATGAATGGAGACAGAAACTAAAAGCTTATGGAACTCCACCAGTTTTTGGTCTACATGGAATTCCTGTCAACATAAATACAGTTGCGGCCTCTTCCTTCCAGGTGTGGTGTGGTGTTGGGTTAGTTAAATCTGGAAAAAGAGAGGAAGTGGGAACCTGCCAATATTAACGGAGGTTTCCGGTGGATAAGCATTCTCAAAGTTTGAAATGCTGAATAAAAATCTTTGTACTTTTCAGAATACCTTACTGTATGTTGGAATTTTGGTGTATTTCTTTTTTAGTGAGACAGAATTCAGTCTCTCATCTTACCAAACCAGCCCTGCAGTCAAAGTGAAATATAAGTCAACATGTTTCTCCAATGCTTTTTAATAAAAAAATTGCAATATTTGGAACTGCAATATGAATTATACCTCAGTGCAAAGCCTTAGCACAAGTAAATCAGACTGCCTATAAAAATTAACTGAATAGGCTACTTAGCTTTTTAAAGATTTTGTCTTTCGTTATTTTTAGGTATGTCACAAAAATTCAGATACTCCAAAATGGAAAAAAAAATGTCTGCTATATCCTTCATGGAGACAATGAATACAGTAATTAGTTTGTGCACACTAAATAGTATCTTCCATTTTAACTAGCTCTTAGTCACTACTGCAAGATGGTCCATGCAAATTACTGTAGTATGACTCAAATGAAGAGCCCTACATGAAAGGTCCTATAACAGCTCTGTTACAAACAACAGCTTTGAAAAGATCATCTTACTTAAAACTGCACACTGTGTTAAATAAATGGCTTGGTTTTATAACCCATCACTGACAGCTTAATACCTCATTGTTCTAGAGAAAGGCTAGCATGGAAGACCCAGTGAAACACTTTGTAATTTTAACCAAGGGTCTGTCTTTAATCATAGAATGGACTGGGTTGGAAGGGACCTTAAAGATCATCCAGTTCCAACCCCCCTGCCACAGGCAAGGACACCTCCCACCAGAGCAGGTAGCTCAAAGCCCTGGCCGATGTGGCCTTGAACACTGGCAGGATGGGGCAGCCACAAATTCTCCGGGAAGCCTGTGCCAGTGCCTCACCACTTGCACAGTGAAGAACTTCTCCCTAATATATATTCTAAATCTACCCTGCCATTTTAAAGCCATTTCTCCTCAACTGTCACTACATGCCCTTGTAAAATGTCACTCTGCAGATTTCCTGTAGGCACCTTATAGTTACCCGCAGAGTGCTCTAATGTCTCCCTTAGACTTCTCCAGAATGAAAAAACCCAGCTCTCCCAGCCTGTCTCAACAGGAGAGGTGCTCCATCCCCCAGGTTATCTTCATGGCCCTCCTCTGCACTTGCTTCAACAAGTTCACATTCTTCTTGTTATGGGGCCCCAGAAACTGAATGCAAGACTCCAAGGGGGGTCCCATGAGAGCAGAGTGGGAAAATCACCTCCCTCGACCTTCTGGTCACACTCCTTTTGATGCAGCCCAGCATACAGTTAGCTTTCTAGGCTGCAAGTGCACACTTGAGGAGCTCATGCTGAGCTTCTCATCAACCAACACTCCCAAGTCCTTCTCCTCAGTTCATAGCTGCTCTCAACTCATGGTCTATACTTAATGGTTTGATAGAATTGACAAGCTCTGTAGAAATCAATCATATTTTCTCTCAACACCCATAAAATATATTTATCCATATAGCTACATTAGTCATAGCTATCAATAAAGGTATTATGGCTACCTATGACTATGTTTAATACTACCAATAACTGCAAGACTTGAGGTCTTGCTATATGGACACGCGGGATTTTTTGTTTGTGAGTTCTTTTTTTCACTTAAGGCTCCATTTCCCAGAAAACTCACCAAGCAACTAAAATGAGGTTTTCCAAATGCCTGTGGGCTGTACCTAGCCAACTGAAGGCAGAAACAGTGCTTTGCTGGTAAAAAAAAAAAAAAAAAAAAGGAATATAAACTAGGAACACTGTAAATTTAACAGTGAAGTCACCGCCACTGTCTGCTCTGTAAGCGGAATTTACAGATTGGTGCTTCCTGATTTAAAGTCGTGTGTTGACTATGCCAGTGGAATATAATGGCAGACTCAAGATCACTGCGCAGGGAATTCACCCTTTGCAGAATGCATTCTACAGCCAAAAGACTGTGTATTTTCAGCAAAAATCAACATTTGGTTCTCCAAGCAATACGACTTTCAGAACACATACAGGTTGACTACACGGAACAGTTGGCCAAAACCAGACATAAGTGTATGACCCAATTCTGTTAATTTACTATGTGTTGAGAAATAAAGAACATACTTGTTGTGGTTTAAGACCAGCTGGTAACTCAGCACCACACAGCTGCTTACTCACCTCCTGCTTCCCCGGGTGGGATGGGGAGGAGAATCAAAAGAACGTAAACCCCACGGGTTGAGATAAGAACAGTCCGGTAACTTAATACAAATGCTACAACTACTATTGCTACTACTACTAACAATAATAATGATAAGGAAAACAACAAGGGGAGAGAATATAAAACTAAAAAGGGAAAGGGGCAAAAAAAAAAGCAATAAACACAAGTGATGCACAATACAATTGCTCACCACCTGCCAACCGATACCCAGCCCAACTCGAGCTATGAGCTCGCCTTTCGGGTGAGTCCCCCCAGTTTATATGTGCTGTGGTATGAAATACCCCTTTGGCTATTTCGGGTCTGGTGTCCTGTTTCTGCTTCCTCCCAGCTAACTGTGCCCCTCCTTATTGGCAGAGCATGAGAGACTGAAAAGACCTTAATCAGGTTAAGAGCTACTGAGCAGCAACTAAAACATACGTGTGTTATCAGGACTATTCTCAAACTGAAACCAAAACACAGCACAGTGCCAGCTACTACTGGAGGAAGAGAAAAAATTAAACTGTTACAGCTGAAACCAGGACAATACTGTAAAGTCCTATTGCCTGAAATGTGAGTAAGAGGGAAAATTAATCTCTTGTAGAGTAGCACTGGGATAAATCACTGATTTTCAAATGATTATTAAATTTCCAAAGGAAATATTAAAGCTGCTTCCATTACTGCCTATCAAGCAGGAAAGAAGATCACTTTGTGTTATCTGTGATAAACTACACAAAGTATCACCCCTTATGTTTTGCTTAGTAAACATTGTTTATAGGGACTGTGATTCCATTGTTGTTCCTTCCATTTATTCAGTGAATCAAGACTCATCTCAGGTACCACCAGCAGGTATAGAAAGCTCACCAGTCTTTCTATTCACAAGCTCTCATAACAAAGAGGAGAAAGTCCTTCTCTCTTTACCTCACCTTCATTTTTAGTCCCATGTAAATTAGTGGATGAGAACTGAAAAGGTTATGATTTTATATCTAAACTAGACTGACAGAAGCACCAACTATAGTCTCTTTCCTAATGCTATCGATGCAGTTACTCCCTGCAGTCTTCAGACACAAGGAACGAGAACTCATAAAGGTCTTACAGAAGCTGATGGCCAGGTTCCAGATTTGATTGAGAAGACAAACAAATCAGTAAAACCATTTGAAACCAGGATTCAGAAGACTCACTTGCTTCAGATCTTAGAAATCCATTAAGCAGAAAAGAAGGGAAGGGAGGAAGCCTCCAAATATTATAGGAAGCTTTAGAGCACAGCAGTGAGTCTATGTCAACTAACAGATGAGAACAATTCACTTTCTCAGAAAAGTAATACCTCACAAGGTCATCGAGCAAAATACAGACGTATTTACTAAACATTAGGAAGGCAGAATGAAACAAATTTCAAGTTAAATTTTCTTACATTGTAGATACAAGACATATGTTAATTTCTTGAATACTGTTGAACTCTCTTACAATTCTCATTCTATCTTCTGATTTTGTATTTCCATCAAGTCTTCGGTAATCTAGCCCAGATGCCATACAGTATTGTTCCAGCACATCTAGCAACTGGGTGGGAAAAAAGAAAGAGAAAAAAAAAAGAAGGATGAAGTGCTTACTATTATCTTCTTAATTAACTTAATTACAGAGGACATGTTTCTGAAACAATAGGACATATTCTATTTTTAAGAGATCAAGAATTGAAAGTGAGAGCAAATCTTCATAATTTTTGTATCAACACTGACTCTCTTTAGCTGCGATTCTACAGCACTCAAGGTGATCAGTATTGGTCTGCTGTGGTCTCACTCAATCCTCCAACCATGACTTTCTGTCCCACCCCTAAGGTATGCTGAATCAGTTTCTTCCAATAAACTGGAAGGCAACTTAAACAGTTTTCTACCATCTCGGCAAATTACAATGGCTTGAAATACAGTAGATGAGCACCAGGAAAAGCAGCACACGGGTATGCACAGTCAGAGTTCAGAGGAATGAAGTGAAAGAGAAAGACATGTGAACGAACACTTTGCTACTGCATCCAAATATTGAACTTGCAGTCTTTCTTGAAAAAAATATTAAATATCGAAGACTAAGAACTGTCACTGATGCTATTATTTTTTAATACTTTTTAGAGCTATCATCACACATATTTAAGAAAATATGTATTTTAGCTTGCACCATTTCAGGAAACACATTACTCCTTAGCAAGAAACTCAAGAAGGTCTCCTAAAAGCAAAACGTGCATACACCTCTTGCTCTAGTTAAACAGTTTTAAGTTCAAACCAACTGATGAAGTTTCATGGCTGCTGATGCTCAAAAGCCAACAGATCAGAAAAATTTACCTACTTTAAGTGGTAACACAAAGGTTGTGGGATCCTTCAGTTGTACTTCACTGTGACACTGCTCTAACACAAGACACACTAGCTGAACTCAGTATGAGCTATCTACACCTGAAGTAATACAACAGTTTTGAAAAGCTCTTAAGTAAGGCAGCAGTTTTTCGTTTGTTTTGCTATCACCATTTTTATCATGAACATGAGGTTTTCAACATGGTTCTGGAGTACGTTGCACTGTCCTCATCATTATTACCCACAGCACAAAGAGAATGTAGTTGACAGCTGTCACCTCCAGGCTTTACACTTCAGAACTTGCTACTGTAGTTAACTGATAAAAATCATATGGAGCTCACCTTTGTGGAAAAGGAGAAAAGAAGAACTTTATCCTTGTTCCTTCGGAAGTGATTTAAAAGCTGCTGAAGGACCTGTAAATGAACCAGAGACTTTACCTACAGGTCATCTCACACACACTTACTTGTGTTTTCAACCTTTAAATAGGCTACACCATAATTAATTGTTTGCAAAGCCAGAGTCATAACAAAAAAACTCTGCTAACACGATAAATATGCCAAGCGTACATTTCTTCAGTGATGTATTTGGAACTCCTGCTGCAAAAAGGCAATAATACCACTAACAGGTAAATTCAAAAGCTATTTGTGTCAGTGCATCGACTGCAAAAAATGTTCCTTATCTCGTGCTAGCTCAACTTATGAATCCTTGCATTTCACAAATGCACACAGTACCCTGAAAACATGAAGGCCTGTTTAAACTTTCTGTACTACATCTGAGCTCAGAACTGGAACTTGACTTCTTAAAATAATCAGTGAGATGTATGCCCCTCCTCATTCCCGCTCTTGCCTGTTGCTCTGTTTACAGTAGGATCCAGCTTCCCAGCGTCTGCACGGACCCTGAAATGCCAATAATCCGCCCACACACAACGTTCTGCTGGTGGGGAAGCAAATAATCCAGAGCCTTGTATATAACAGTGATACTGTTATTTTCAAAGGAAGCATGTCCACATCTGGCAATGGCAGCTCCAGAGTACCATGCAGAAGCAATACACAAAGGGGAAAGAGGAATTTTCTGTACCAGGCCTGCAGCCTTCTCCCACTGGGCAATAAATATTTAAAAAATTGTATTTATTCAGTAATAAACATATAACTGTTAATCAACACTGATTTCATTAAAAGCCTAACAAATCTTCCTCAACCAAATAATGATGACTGTTTATATTAATCTTACAATTCTGGATGGTATCTAGACTATAAAATATTAATTATACATCACTTACAAGCCTTTTTGTATGTGTTAGCCACACAGTTACAAGAGAAAACAAGGTAAAACAAGAGAATTTGCCTGGTTTGTACAAAAAGATATAATCCAGAATTTATTTTATTGGGCTAAGTCTGTATCAGGTAATTTAAAAGAGCTAAATGACTTATATTTGCATTTCAGTTTAGCTACATTTGAATGTCAATTTACCAGTGACATTTTTTGAAAGTAGAAGGAATGTGGCTACTGTACTCTTGCTATTAAAGTACATAAATAATGAATTTCCTGTAAGAATACACACAAACAAATCCACCTGTTTTGTTTAAATAAAATGGATCAATGTCATGCCCTTTGAGATTTCAGGTATTTTGAAGAACAGCTCTGACTAAGAAGGAAAAATGATGGGTTTGCACCAAAAAAGAAATAAAACCTATGTTTGTGCACCAACTCCTGAAAGTTAAATCTGAAAAAGACACACTTGATCAGACTCAAACAAAAGTAGAGTGCTCTTTTTAAGAGACCACACGAATTTAAATATGTATCTCTTCATTATTATACACTGTGACTCGTCTGTGACGAGGTGGTACCTACCACATTTAAGAACACCTTGTCTGTATACAGATGCCCAAGTTAGCCTACAGCGTTTTTAGGCTTCAGAGCCACACCTGCCTGGGTTAAGGTTATGTTCAGCGGCAGAAGTTACTATCATTTGCAAGGTGCTCCGAAACACATACATATTTCTACGGAAATAATGATAATATGCTAGGTAAAAATAAGATAACAGCCTCTGCTCTTTTGCCACCACAGTTATGCTCATACTCTGGCACTGCAATAGCAGAATCTTCTTCCTTACCACCCAAGATCACCACACACAAGCATAGGAAAAACCTTACTGCTACCAGCCAAGGTTACACCCAACCCACACAGCCACAGCCAGCTGCACCCCCAAGAAGTCCCTGCAGCCTGTGCTGTCCCAAAAGCAACTCAGACCTATAGCCATGGTGTGGAACAGATTCCTCTCAACAGGCAGATGATGGTGGGACCTCTGTCTTAACTCAGTCATTTCTGCTTGCCTGTGCTGTTTGCTACTCCATCAAAACAGACAATCAAAATGTTGTCAGGCAGTGTTGGAGTGAAGGATGCAACAGCCTTAAGAGACAAATTTCTAGAGCAAGGAAAATTATTTTTAACCAATAAAAAAAGAGCTTCATAAGCACTACTGAAGATCACAGACTTCGTTTTTACAGGTATGTATTAAATATTTGCTGGTAATTTAACAATAAAGTTGCCTTCCATGAGATGACTGTTTATAACCAAGCTAATATGCAGGCCTCTCACATGGACGTAGTAACAGAAAAGAAAGATGTTGCTCACATAATAACAAATCAATAAAGTGATAACCACTACTCCTGCTACAAAAATGTGGCCCTGACACTGCTTCCCTGAGAGTCCCAACTAGCAACTGTAATATGAAGATTTATAGAGAACAAAAATATGGCACACTCAATCCTGCATAGCTTCTCACCTCCAATTACTCTCAGGCCAGGAACGTTCCTAAACCTAGTATGGTTTTCTTTCTAATTAGCTATATTAAACGTCATTTCCAGTTATTCATCTTGTTCCCCTCTGAAACCAGAAAAAGTCACCATTTTCCAGGTAAGGAGCTTTACAGGTTTAGACTTAGCCACATTAAAGATGAACAAAATGTGTTATTACTAGCTTCATTTGATGTCTGAAGGGTTAGAAGACAAAATAAACACTCAGTACATCTTTGCCAGTTCCATGCTACCCACGAAAGTGCAGGTCCCTTTCAAATTCATTCTAAGACATTTTTTCCAGGCTGAAGAGCCACATCACATTTGGTTGTTTCTGTTCCACTGTACTGATCACCTTTGTGGCCCTTTCCTGAACCCTTCTCTGAACCTTTTCAAGGTCTAACAGATGCTTTTTGAGAGAAGGCACTGGAACTACCCACAATACTGAAGGTGTGCAGAAATCATTAAGTCCATAATGATTTTGTTTTGCTCCATTTCCCAATTATTTCTGATTGCCACTGCATCAATGGTTTCATGGAACTCTGTCATAATATGACCCCAACCCCCTGAGTGTAAGGGTAATTTCTGTGCCCATCACTGAATATGTGAAGGTTACATCTTAGATTATCTCAGATCACTCCTTCGAGTCTGCCCGCAGACACCCTGATCCATGACAAGAGCTACCTGTTGTCATGGTAGCACGACATATATTATTCATAAACAGAATTATTAAAAACCAACAACCATTAGGTGCACATTTTCTTATAAGCATCTACTATACTAGCAGACCTATTACTATTACCAACACTTAATTTTCCTCTAAAGAACATCTTTACCTTCATTTTTCCACTGTACTTTGGATCTGAAATGGTTTCAAAGGCTGCATCTTTGCTTAACTGCACAAAATCTGGAAAACTGGAAAATACTTGGCTGCACACCCGTTTGATATGTGCTTCCTGGAAAAAAAGCGAAAGTTTGAGTAAGCACTAAAAATTACAGAACTACACTGGGAAACCAATAAGCCATACAAGGAGTCAAACAGGCTGAAACAAGTGACCTGCTGAAGTAACTCAAGCAGAATGACTCTAGTGTTTTTATTCAGGTCTCTGCAAGAGTGCTGGATAAAACACCTCCTGTCTGTTTCAGTTTGCTTCATTTAAAAAGGACCTTAATCTGAAACCACAGATTCTAGTTACTACAGTAAGAGATGTCCAAAATTTCTTCTCCTGGAGAGAGACAGCAATAGGACTGGCCAGAATCATCAGCCGCAAGAACCCTGATGATCTGAGGTTTCCGTTACCTTACAGGTATGTACCAGCATTTATTTCTCCTGACCCTCCTGCATACGCCAACACATGAATTACATACTGTTTCACCAATATGACAGAAAAAAAAAATAAATATGGGGAATGCATTTAAACTGTTGTCCTGGGTTCAGCAGTGGCTGAAAAGCCACTACTAGAATTTGGGTAGCTCAGATCTTGACCACACACTCTAAGTCCACCTTTCCAGAAGAACAGAAAAGGTCTTGTGACTCACCTAAGAACAGCACATGTGACAGACTTTAATCCTAAAAGTAAGAAATACTACAAAATACCAGTTTCTTCAGTAAATTTGAGAGGTTAATAATTATGTACTCCTATATTGTTATTCCTGTGGCTATTTAAACGCTCAAATGTTACTACAACAAAAACTACATCCACAGTACAAAAAAAAAAACCAAACAAAAACAACCAACCAATGAAACAAACCAAAACAAAGCCAATACGGGAAACATTTGGGTGTATACTGCATATAAGACTATGAATACTAACAGCAACACTCCCTAAAAAGCAAAACTGCTTTAATGGAACAAACTTGCTAGAATTAGCTAGGATTTTCCATTTCCATTCCTCTGTGGCTTCTGAGGTGAAGTGGCAACATCCCTTGATCCCTCTGCTCATTCTTGGATTTTAAGGCTCGCATACAATTGTTTTTAAAAACTGTGGGTCTTGTAGGTTAGCTGCCCCAGTAACAAGATAAACTGATACTGATCTCTCACTAAATATGAAGTACCACAGGAAAAAAACAACACATTCTATTTGCTATTATTTATTTATTTGCACAAATATATTCCTTTTACTAGGCACTTGTCATAAATGGAGCAGAAATGCCAATATTATAAATGACTACAAATAACTCTCCCCCTTAAAGCTCTTCAGTGTCTATAACCCTTATTTTAAAATATGCACCAATTAAATGATATATAGAGAGGTGTTACACAACATTACAAGGGCTGCATTCTAAATTACTGAATGGAAAAGGAATTTGGCAATATATTTTAATGTCAGTTAGATAAAACTTAAAAAGGAGGCCAGCAGCAATTTCATTCAAGAGCTTTCATCCTTTTTTCCATTAGACCATCCTTTACATACTTCTGAGACTAACCTGATGCTTGCTAGTGTTGTCTGTCTGCAGCAGTGCAGCATGATTTGCAACCTTCTGTAGAATTGTCAGGTAACTGAAGCGCAGCGACTTAATTGTTTCACCATAAGCATTTTCCTACTCCCCATAAAAAAAAAACCAAAACAGAAAAGAATGGTTATGCAAACAAATACTCCTGAAAATAAAAATTCATCTATAATAGCTGCTAGCTTTACAAGGTTTAATGCATTAGCGATTGTAAGTAGTACTATAATTGACCCCAAATAGATGTATACTGTATTTCTAACAAAAATTAAACGGCTTTTTTTTTTCCACTCAGCTTTGTGATACTATTACCAGAAAACATCTTCTCAAAAAGAAAAACCCCACACCTATGTTCATAGTTCAATAAACACTTCAGATAGCACAGTACCTACAGAAATTACTAAAATAACCAAGAATTCCTCAATAGACAAAAAAAAAAAAGAGACAAACTTTACAACTGATGCAAAAGTAAACCAAACCAGAAGTGTTTGTATGAATTCTTATGTAATGACTGCTAACTTTACAGCAAAAATGTTTAAAGTTTTATAAACATCTCAAGTAACAAACAAAATATTCTACAATGCAGCAGCAACATCAGCTATTTTTCTGGTTATGGTTGCCTGATTCAACCAATATTTGTTTTCCTTTCAAGTTACTAAATTTCATGGTTAACTTTGGAATAAGACAGTCTTTAAGAGCACTTAAGTATCCGCAGGCCTGCTTATTGCCCTTTGTGAATCAAGTTCAATAGCATTTTAATTTTTCTACAAGACATCATGAGAAACAAAAGTCTGCAAAGAACTAATGCTTGTAACCATGAAATATTAAACAGGCTGGTTGGAAGACTGTTTTAAAAGAATGATGTGAAGACTGAATAAGCTACATCATTTGGAAAAAAAAAAAAAAAAAAAGGCCAAACAAAAAACAACAAAGACACCCACAACATGAGGATCAAAACAGGCCAGAAGGAGAACAGGGAGATGCAAGTACAAGACATATGCTTCTAAATGCTTAAGATGTGTTTAATCCGAGTGACATGGGCAAAACAAACCCAAAGCTGGACTCGTTGAATGCTAACGAAGTCCATGGAAGACAGAAGAAATCTGCAAAGCTGCTACTACTGAACAAAGTTCTGCTTGCGCTCTATGGCTACTGTCAGAGTTCCCCTTTAAATGATGCAAAGCAAAGCACATGTTTATTGGCACAGAAAGACAATCCAACTGCAGTTGTAATGCAAAGCCCAGCAAACTGCTAGGTCCAGAATGCCTCTGGTTTGCAGTTTCTGCACAGACTGCCTGAGGCACATGGGAGCAGTATGCCCGACACATCCTGAACATGCCAATGCAACACCCACGCCAACATCAACTATATCACAGGTGGACTTAAGGCAAAGATCCAGAATTTTCTGCATAAACACCTGCTTGGGGCATGCAAAACAGCTCTGCTGTGATCCCAAAGTGCCTAACACCATGATGCTCCTGATGCAGCCACCCCTGTTTCCAGTCAGGCCTTCCCAAACAGATGGCTTATGAGCATGCAATCATTTCAATCAGCATTTCATCGGCACCAAGTCTCTGGAGAAAATCAGAAAGATTACATTCTAAAATCCAAACAGTTCAAGTTCTTACTTTGTAACAACAGTTCTTTCTTTTACGACCACTGTTGCAGCTGCAGGGCTCTCCTGCTCGTAATACTAAGCTCACATCCTCTGTCTCTAGCACAGCCTGGTACACTGCTTTCTGGAATTCAGTGAGAGAACAGTACACCATCTGCCAAAGAGAAACCCCCAAAACACAATTTCATGCAGCATGTAATGAAAAGCAAAAGAGTACTGAATCAAAAAACATACACCATAGGAGACAAAGTAGCAAACAAGATTATATTTGTTCAAGTAGTTACAGAAAATTATTCTACTGCCAAATTAAAAAATGTAGATCTTGACATCAGAACAGCATTAAATTGTATCCAAAAATGTATGCATACTTCTTTTATCACCTCCCAGAATTCTAGAGAGTATCAATTTCAAGCTACAAGAACCTGCTGCTAGGTTTCTATAAACCTTTCGATATGGTTCTTGTAGAGGTGGAAAAAGTAAGAGAAATAAACACGTAACTGTACTTGTGGACTTCCCTCTGCTTTGCCAGTTGCTTAATTTTCCCTTTCTTTCCTCTTTTTAGGCACTAGCTGCTGTAGGGCACTACCACAGGCAGGGCAAAGAGAATAAGGAATGAGAAGGCAAGGATCTATACAGTGCTATGGCCAAAACTCTTATCCCTCTTCTTAGAGACCATGGGTGGCATCTCCATGACATCTTTAGCCTTAGCAGCAGGAGACAGAAATCCTAAGATCATTCCTTAACCTACGCTACCCACACAGCAGCAGCACCATGCTGAGCTATAATAATAAAGCAGTAACTTGAACATATACTCACATTAACAAGAGAATAAAAAGAATAAAACCTGCTAGATTTAGAAAAAGCAACTGACTGATGTTTGTGTTAATCTTTCCTTCCAAAGACAGTTTAGATGACATTATTATACACTAAGGATGAAGAATAAATACCAAATTTTGAAAAAAAAACCAAACAGCTGCAAACTAATGTTTGTCTATTTAGAAGGAAAGCACAAGTATGTGCAATAAGAATTTATCAGAATTCTCAGCTATAGTCATAAAGTATTATAACTTCATATAATGATTACAATGAACAGGATCCCAGACCTATCAACAATAAGGATTTAGGGTTTTCTTTTATTTAGTGATCGGAACTGAGGGAATTAAAAATAAAAACCTAAAAACGTATAGTTCAACGCACAAGGTGTTAAGCTGCAAATTCTGAAGTCCTACACAGAATTGAGAGATTTACATACACTGTACTGGCTTTGCACAGATAAGTACAAAAGTACACATAAAATAGATGTATAAATCACTAGTCAGAAGTCTAGCTGAGCATTTTCATGCTTGATTAACTCCATTTCAACAAGCAATCATTGTAATTATGTGAACAAAGCACACTACTGCATGTGCATTTTTTCCAAGGCTCTGGATTATTCTTAAATTTGTAAGTCCAAGACAGAAACATAAACTACTACAGGCATGAAGAAAGAGAGAAAACACAACAAAAACAAAAAAGAAGATATATATTCATTAATACTGTATTTCAAAACTGCAGGCACTCTTACTCTGTCCTCCTTTTTTGGCAACTGATCACTGATAAGTGCTTTGCTTCTTCTCAGAAACCAGCCAGACATTTTTCTTGCTAGCTCCACCATGGCCTTACGACCTGTTGCTAGCTCTCTTTTACTTGCAGTGTGCCTCTGGCCATGCTCCACTGGATCAGAAAACTTCTTCTTGAAGTGTATTCTGCTACCCAAAAGTCCCGGTACAGCCCTATAAAAAAAAAAACCAAAAGGGTGTGGAGGGTGGCATGTGCGCAAAGGAATAACAGCATTTTCTTTACTCTAAGGCAGTCTCCCTTTTTCCATTAATTAAAAGCATACCATGAATTGTTTCTGCACAACAGCAAGAGATCTTAGAAAAATAAATAAAAATTGTGTATATAGATAAAAACATATACTACTTCCAGATATGCCATTTTTTTTTATCTGCCTTCTGTGACCCTCAAACATTAAGAGATTCCCCTTAAGAAAAGAGTTGTTATCTCCAGAAAAACAAAAGCTCATCAGACTAACAGAAGTCACAAGTATACAAAACCTCTAAACTATCAGACCATTACTGTTCTGGAGCCTGAACTGGAAACTAAGCAGTCATGTTCTCATTTTTTACTGTTTTTCTTAGAATCACATTATGCAGATATTACAATTTACTAAATAAAATTTTAGGATACCCAACAGCAAAAAGGGTTTGGTAATCACTGGCAGCTTTACAATATTGGAAAAATTTATTAACAAATCAGCATAGTTTTAATGGACTGGATGCAACACTAAGCTTACTGTCAAAATATTTTCTTCTCCATATTTCAATTCACTACGTATATCCCTATATTTAAGGTATGTTTGCTCTGTTCCTCCTCTGCAGAGCATCTCCAGCAAGTCTCCTACATTTCAATTTCTATCTAGGGCTCGTTTCACCCCTCCCGCTCCATTTTCCTGGAGAAGACTACTGCTTTGCAACTATGTGCACTTGTGTATTTTGGAAAACAGTAAGATATCATTACTTTCATCTTCTAAATAAGTCAGAATGACCTGCACATATTGGACAGAGCAAATGCACAACAGTGTTCAAACTTCTGTAATGATTCTCCATCTACCCTGTGGAGGTCAGAAGGACGGAAAAGTCTGTCCTTGGAACAGAAAGGTAAACATGGAGGGCAGGAGGGGGATGGGTAGCATTTTAACTGCTTCCTATATTCCCCAAAGAAGCCAGATCTGAGGAGCTCCAAATGTACTAAATAACAGAAAAACTCGTATCAGGAGCTTACCTCTGCAGACGCAGTGGAAAAACATACTTACATACTGACAAAACATTGTTTTTTTGGGGGGAGGATTACAACTTGTTGGGTTTTCTGACACAGATGGGTCCATATCATCCATCTCCTTCCCAGCCCCACTACATGGTTAACATACAGAGATGTTTGCCCATAAAAAAATAAAAATAAATAAATAAATAAAGTTTTATTTACCAGTCCATAACACACCAAAGTTCCTTCATATTGTTCTGAAGAATGGTTCCAGTAAGACCAATGCGAACGCTGCATTTTAATGACTTCATGGTTTGAGCTATTTGAGCCTTTGGATTCTTGATTCTATGTGCTTCATCCACTATTACAGCAGACCATTCTACGCTGCAGATCAGCAAAAAATACTGTGTTAACTGAAACTGCTTATCCCATCATTCGACATGAAGTCAGCCACACAAGCCACACACTATTGCTTTTTGATTGCATTACACTACTCAGTTTCTCTGTAGTCTGTTTGTTTAATAAATTCAACTGCCATAGTTGAGTATAATGGCTAAACTATATAGCCAAATAAATGAACTAATGCTAAACGTATCAAATGCTTTCTCTGAAGAAAGCAGTTTTCAGTATCTGGAGCAATCAATACAGCATATCTCACCAGCACTAATTTCGCTCATAAGTAAGAGTTAGAAAAATTAAATTTCTGAAGATAAACTACTGAAAGATGCTTAATGCAGGTATGCTTCATTTTCCCAATGAAAACTATCCAGTGTAACTAGAAGTAGACTGAAAGCACTTCAATCTGCATGGTGCTCTACATCACTCAACTTCTTCATTATGTGTATGATATCAATATGGCAGAGGAGTTTAAATATTTTGTGATTTTGCAACTAGGAGAAACGTATCTAGAAGCAAGAACTGAAAGGTATTTTGCAGCTGATTTCAAGCATAAAACTCGGAGGTAGAATGACCTGTATGTATCCTGTGATACTAATTTATCAAGTACATAGGAAGAGATTTGTTAACTGTATGAGACTGCTTTATATATATATGAATGCATATTTCACGACAAAATCATATCCACTTCAATAATATTTCAGACTCCAAAAAGCTGAAACAGACATGCTTAGGAAGAAACCTCTCTCCTGAATGGGCTGCATTTAGTTCACTAATCTGAAAGCCAAACTTGTGGCATTTTTGATGCCTCTTAAATACATTCTTTCATATCTAAGTTCCTTATGTGCCTAAGATCTGCTAAAAATTGGGAGCTTCTGAAGAGGGTCCAACAAACTATTATATATTAGCTCCTTCAACTTAACCTCTCACTATGTGGATGTACACGCATAACTGATCCCATGCATTCTTCTCCACAATAGTTAATTACTTAAGACCAGTTGAGACCAATCCATCATTCTAGTTAAGCAAGACACATAACCTCCCCAGCATCAAGGTCATAGGCTCATCCAGCCACATGCTCTGTAGAAACAGAGTATGGGTAAATCTGTATGCTGCAGCAATGTATTTGCAAGCGGTCGGTCAGATCTGTTCTGCATATATACCTATTTCCTGAACATAGCCAAAGGAAAGGCAAAACTCCTAGTTTGAAAATCCTGACAGCCATGAAGAAATAAAGTAGCATATATAATACATCCACTGTCAGAAAGACCTTGATTCTACTAAGTCCATCAGGTATTTAAAACCATACACACACAAATATACGTCTTTTATCTCGAGTTTCGGACTCAAGGATTTCCTGAAGCTGGTGAAAAATGCAGTAACAAGGAAAATGCACATTTTGAACATTTGCTAAAAATTCCAGATTTTTACCTTATACTGAAAGACAGAAAATATCTTCTGCATATCTTTTAGCAACCACCTGTTTTCAGACAAGCAATTCCTATGCCTTTTAGAGACACTTCATGAATGGTGTAGGCTACCTTTAAGAAAACTATTCAATTAGTTACTTTTCCTCAGCATCCCATAATAAAGATAACAGGGTAAACCCTGCAAAGACAGTTAAATGAGATTTTCCTCTTCAGCACAGTGAGTCATTGAATTTAACAGTATATATATATCACACAGGAAGAATAAGTACTTGCAAAGAATAATGCAAAACAATATAGTTAAAATTCTGTGTGTAGAAAAATACATTAAAATCATTACCTGTTAAATTCATCCAAATACAGGCGAAGCACCTCATACGTTGTAAGGGCAACTTCACATTTCCCTTGCTTGATGCGACTGAAGTCATCATCTTTTTTACTGCCATGTAAGACACAGACCTTAAAGTACCCCCATGTGTCTAACTCATCCTTCCAGTTGTAAAGCACTGAAAGAGGGGCCACTATGAGGAAAGTCTGAAAATAAAGATGTTACAGTATTACTGGAAAAACTGCAACTTAGCACTTCTTCCTCAATAACAGAAAGCAAAAGCATGATATCTATTTTACTGATTTCAACACTTTGAACAACATGTCTAATTCTGTCACTTTAAAGCATATACAGAAAATACCTGAAGAATCACTACAAATTCAAAAGTAATCAGTTTACTCACAGTTTGTGAATAATACAGAGGTACTGTATGTCAATAATACAAATGTACTGTAATACTAAAACCCCACAAAGTAGTGTTAATTACTCAAACTACACTCTAAAAACTGCAATAAGACATACACTACCACTTTGCTTTGCTATAGCATCTGTATGTTATAAAATGTTTTACAGATGGAGAAAATACAAGGATGAAGAGGGTAAGCAGCTTCCTCCAATCCACAAGTCATCATATGACTTCAAAACAGAAAGACATGAAAAGGCTTTAAAAATGTAAGACAGATCATACAACTGATTTAATATCGTGGAATAATAAAATCAGTGAGGTGGGAAGGGCTCTCAAGAAGTTTCTAGTCTTAACATTCTGGTCAAAGCAGTGGTAACACTGAATTAAGAACAGGTATTAAGGGCTCCCTCAGTTCAGGTATTCAAATCCCCACAGGGATGGGAGTGGTCTACAACCTCTCTCTGTAACCTCCTTCAGTACTTAATGGCCTCAAAGTGAAACTCTTTCTCTTATTACCAGTCAGGAGTGTTCCTTGTTTGTTTGGTTGTTTTTCTTCTTTTATGTGATGCGCTACCCCTTCACTTTTTCCTCTTTGCCTGTATGTCCTGAGAAACCCGTATCCATTCCTCAGAGAGCCACAGTCATATGAACAGCACTGCCAAATATTCCAATTTTTTCAATATGATAAAAACAGTACTCAAAACCAGAAATTCCTTAAGTCCTATGCTGGGTAAACTTAAAACAATCTTCAGATTTCTCTCATTCACACAGAGCTTTTAAATGTATCTTTACTAGCTCTAATCAAATACAGGTCCTTGGATCATCAGTCTTAACTCCAGAAATTATGACACTCATTCAAGAAAACATGTGCAGTCACAAGAATATTAACAAATTTTCCAAATATATACGTTCACCTTAATTATTTATATATCCTGTTAATACATGTGCATATGCTTTTCTTACTTGAGAAACACAATCCCACAAAACTGTAGTTTTCTATTCACTGACAGGGGCTTTTCAAATTACTCTAGCCACAGATGTCATACAGGTATTTCCAAACGTTTTGTGTTAGTGCTGATCAACAGTTTTACCAGATTCAACAGTAACAGTTAAATAATGCACTATGACAGTCTGGAAAACTGAAGGTTTCCCTAGCACTACTATGAAGACCATGAGCCCTTAATCCGCCAAATTAGCTGAATTTTAAAAATAAGTATGCATAAACTCTGAAAGCAAGCAAAAAAAATGAAAAAAAAACCAAAACAACTCCAAGTATTGCCTTTTACCAAAATCCTTAAGCTTGTATCACTAAAAGCTGTACCTTCTTGGGGTTACACTTGGGTTCTTTTTTCATTGTCCTCAGTAAAAATTCTGGCATATTATTTTCAATATCCTCACGTGTTCCCTTTTTGTGCAACACTGCAGCCAAAAACGAAATGACCTTGAGGAAGAAAACAATTCTCAGTGATTATGTACAAAAATGCAAGCAGAAACTGAGGGAGATCCACTGAAAAACAAACAAACAAACAACCCCCCCCCAAAAAACAAACAAAAAAAAACCCCCAAATATAACCCAAAACATTTAGGACAAAATCTTGGATGGGATGTTGTAAAGTGGTTTGGATCGGAGTTGGGATTTTGTTTGGGGGGTTTTGTGTTAAATCAATCTAATTTTTAAAATAGGAACCCCTTCCCTTGGAGAATCCTGAATTCACAATAAGAGCAACTAGTTGCTCTATTTCACTCGTTCATCCACTAAGTGGAAAAGTCCCCAAAACACACAAGAGACTATGAATGAACTCAGAAAACCTAAAACTGAGGTATGCCTTGCAGTTTTCCATTTTCAGGATGATACTTGACTCAGTAGCAAAAAAGAAGGAAGAGATACTTGCTTAATATCTCTTAGGGAGAAGTATACTCCCCACTATACTTCTGAAAAAGCAAGAGGTTTAAACTAGAGCTTAATTTAACAATTTTCACTAGTATGTTGTTTCCTGTATACTCCATTCCTTCCAATTCCTGTCATTAACTTCAAAACCAGCTCTTCCTGTTGTGTTTAGGCTTCACTATCTTATCTGTCCCAAAACGGTCAAGGTGATTTTCCTTTGATTATGATTAAGGCATTCATTATTATACACCACAGCAAGGACAAACATCCCTGCATAGGCTATTACAAACTTCTCCCATGACAATCCAAAACAGGAAGAAGGCACAGAGACTGGCCAGTACACGCATTATTGATGAAATCCACTTGGGATAAAAGGTATCCATGGGGCTAAGCAGCAGCAAGGACCAGATGCATCATCAGAGGGGTGCCCTTCTTTTGAAAACTCAACAGGCTGCCTTTACTCTGAGCAGTCAGCTCCAGCCCCTTCCTTTTGCAGCTGCTACACAGCTGTTCATAGCAGGGCTGCAGTAAAGCTACTAGCTGTTGATTTCCAAAAAGGAAGAAATTTCAAGAACTTTCTCCCCCTAATGGAAGGCGGAAGAAGAGAAGGTGGAGAAGAAAGAGCCAGACAGGAGTGCAGAAGTCCAGAAAAAATACCCAAGAAGAGTAAGGGTTGATGAGCAAAAGAAAGAAGAAATCCATCACATATGGGGCCACAGGGTGAGAAAGAGATACACAGGAGAAAAGAAAACCAAACATTTGCATAGATAATATTTCATATGAACTGACGCTAAGAGGAACTGCGAGTTTTCACGTTTAATTTTTTTTCTTCAATCCTTTTGAGAGTAAGAATGAAATTCAACTGAACATAAAAGCTCCATGTGTCTTCCAGATCTTCTTTCGGAAGAATTATGCATCACAAATTTAACAATAGAAAAGACTACAAAAGGGCAACTGTGATGACAAACCTTTGGTTTGTCGAGATAGAGCACGAAGCAACCTAAAGGCCTTGCTAGGAAACTAACTTAGTGCGATCACATTAAGAAACAACATTATTCTACTTGCCCCCACCTCAACTTCATCTTGAAATTAAACAGCCATACAGTCAGGACAATTAAAGCAAAAATCAGTTCAGAAGTACAAAGAATATTAAAATGCAAAAGTTGTCTAGAACACCCTTTATGTCATAAATCACCCTATAATTCAGAAACAATAAAGCTTATGCAATTGACAAATATAAGTTTTCTGTAAGACTAAACCATTACTTGAAGTTTAACTAACACTTCTTTTTTAACTAAGTGAAATCCTCTTTTACTTCATATCCTGGACTGCCTTTCCCCTGCTGAACCTGAACATAAATACTGTGTTTTATAAGTAATACACAAGATACTCTTCAAAACTTGACACTGCGAGGAAAAGAAATAACCACTAGATCTGAATTCCACACAGGAACACACTATCACTGTGTGACAAATGTGACCAAGTCATTACAGAATCAGCTCTGAGGTACAAATACACGAGATGCAAGCAAGACAACTCATTTCCTCCTGCCCCATTTACTGTCTTATATAGATGCTTCCTGCTACAGGAAATCAGATTATTTGCAGTTCTGAGTAGTAACAAACTTCTGTAAGTACAGAGCTCTTAAATTGCCATGGACAAGAAACATAGTCAAGCTTAAGTAAAACACAAGGTAAATGGATGAAATTTAGTTTCAATAAACGTGTCAACAGATCAGCAGCAGCTACACAAATTCGTGAGGGACCTCTAAATGCTCTATCCAGAGAGGTTTTGCCAGTTTAATTTACTCACTCCTTTTGTCAAACTTGCTACAGAATAATACTTCTTTGCACTGAAGGGTGTCTGCCATCATCCTAAATGGAAGGGTGAAGGACAACAGAAGCTACAGCCTGTATTTGTCAATGAAGCAATGATCTTGCATTTGACACACAGAGGGAGAAAAAGAGAGAGGGACAAATACTAGCCACCACAGGATTCAAGCTGCTGGCTTAAAACAGAAAGGATTAAAGGGAATTCTCAAATGTAAAATCACCCTAATTTTAGTAAAATAAATAATTCATTTGGGCCACACTGATTCAAAGCATAATGGAAAAATCCTGTTACATTCTGTCTTTTCATCAACCAAAGTTGTATTTCCAAAAGAGTAATAAAAATAACATAGGACATTTAAGCACTTTTTCCAGAAATGGGAGTAAATGTGGCTGCTCCTATTCATTCCCAGTACAGCTGAACTATTTGTTTTCAGGAAAAAAAAGATATTGAAAGAAAAGTCTGATAAGGGTTGTAAGTTCTTTTAGCATACTCCAGTGCAGACTCCTTTCATAGGATGTACAGGTAATCCTCCAGGTAAATTCAACATAAAATGAATACTAACATTGTAACCACTGTCATTATCCATGCTTACACCAAAAGGGGACACAGCCCAGTTTTGACACTTATCAGGAGTGATCTTAAATCAGCAGTGCCTCCTGACTCTAAGTGCTGTCCTGGACAGTCACATCCTGCCACCTCCAACTCCACAACAGCAAAGGGAGGTTAAGCTCACTGACATGGCATTCTTAAATAAGTTATTTTTAAAACGATTAAAACCTCATAGAAAATACATTGCCAAAAAAACTTAAAGAATACCTGTATTGTCTTTCCAAGGCCCATATCATCTCCAAGAATACACCCCCTTTTATTAGCATAATGTCCATACAGAAATTGGACTCCTTCCCTTTGATAATCACGTAGGTATCTGTTAATTGTATATGGAATAAAATCACCATTGTCAGATAATTTAAAAGCAACTGCAGGAGATGGAAAATTCTGGTCAGGAAAATAAGGCTTTTCCAGATCACGATCATCAAATATTAAGCTTTTCCAGGGCCCTCTTCTGTCTTTGACTCTACAAAGTTTAGTTATTAATATTTTCCTTTCTTCAGACTCTGAGAATGATACAACAGCAAATGATTTTCCATTCTTGTCCTTCTCAATAGAAGATATTGTTCCTTCATGAAGTTTCCCATCTTCAAGACAAGGGGCAAGGCACTTCTCCCCAGTATGCCAATTATCTACAAAAAAACCACAAAGACACAGAGTGATAAACTGGCCAGATGCACAAAGTATTTCATTATGTCACATTAATAAAACATTGGATATAAATTTATTTGACAAAATGCATACAACTTAAAAGAATTTATTGAAAGTAGCACTAGAATCAGGATACCTGTTATTGTTTAGAACTAAATCCTGAGGTAGACATAAAATTATAGTTTGCTGAAACACTGCTATGTTACAAATATCTGGAAGCGTATACGAAGAAAATGTGATGTAAAAGCAAAATTCTGATACATTAAGTTGTTACGTAGTGGCTTCATATATGTAAATACTGATGCCTGCAGGTTTAGTGTCCAATTAAAAGACCACAGGACCTTGTTTATTAGACACTTTGGATCTACCAGAATTTACTACTGCAGTGTTAGTAAATTGTTTCATGATTATAATCACACAGCAAAACATCACCTTTCTCACAACACAGTCTGGAACAGGTAAAAACAAACAAACAAATATGCTTAGAAACAACAGAAGTGTACTTTAAGTGCACCATTTGCCTATATTGCTCATCAAAGTGGCTAATTACTCAGTGAACTAAATGCCTACAGCTGTCAAGTCTGGAACTGTTAAAATCCCCTCCTCTGAGTGGTCTCACTACAGCCTTAATACAGCATATCAAGTATTAACAACACAGATGACTGACATGCTTCATTTTCAGCTATCTCATTTTTACATTTAATGCGCAAAGACAACTTTTTTCAAACGATAATGTATGCTTCCAACAAAGAATAGGGAAGATAAGAACAGCAGTGTATCAGAGTTCAAATAATTCACATTGAAAAACCCAACAAAATACCTCAATCAGAAAAAACAAGGCCATCACTCTTCATAGTAAAAAGAGAAAGACCTTGTAAGTAACAGTTGTACACAGTTTTCCAAATCTGAACTGAGCAATTCTTGTCCTTCCAAATTTGTGAAGACAGTTTCCAACCTTCCCAGGCTCTGCCACCCCAAAACAAAGAAAGGGACATATAACTAATTTTAGCACTTTTATTATTTCTTATCTACTTGTTGGAATAAGCCCTGCTCCTCCTTAGAAAGTCGTTATCAGTAGCAGTGAGAGGCACCTAAGCTTTTTATGGAAAGAAGAAAGTCAGACAGAATCTTACATTCAAAGCACGTATTTGTACTTCATACCTATGATCAGTGGTAGTCCACTGTTTCTGGGCTTCTCAACCCAGCTACTTTCCAGAGGGAAGAAAAAGAAAACAGGAAGTCCTGAAGACAAGAAATTCCACCTTCCCCCTTTTTCCTGTGTCAGTGCAAAAAAAAATTCATGGAGAAAGACAGGTTCTTCTCACCAGTTCCTGAGCTCCTGGAAGTGTACGCTTACAGGATTATTCTCCACAACGTACAAGATCAGTGATAACTACTCATTTAAAAAAATTTCATTAAATTGTATATGCTAAAGAAAACAAACCACTCTGGTCATAAGCTGACATCCATGTAATAGTAAAAATAAAAAAAAAAAAAAGGAAAATTCTCTTCTAAAATTCTTTGGCCTTAAAGTATTCTTTAGCCACACAGACACCCTGGGCTAGGTATAGCTTGTGCATGTAGCAAACCCCAACACACTCCTCTCTTTAAAGTAGCTCCATTTCCTCTTTACCACATGCAGATTCCTTGCATTTGGGGTCTTATGACCACAAATTTTACAAGTATGCTCTTTAGCACTGTCAAGCTTTTGCATGCTATGAACTTGCATCCCACAACCTAAACTGATGACCTGCTTCTTATACTAACGAGATTATAACTACAACCTTTCCATTAGACTATTTGAAGGTGTCTTTCATAATGCCTCCCATCACCCTCACTTGAGAAGTTTAGCCCCACACCCTGCGACCAGTACATAAACTCCCCCATACCTTCAGCCATTCTCAATGGTTTCCTCAGAGACTTGAAGCTCAAACGTATCTTTTTGTGGCAAAGGGTGAAGAACAAACAGTATATTCAACATATGATACATATCCAATCTCTTAAAAGTTAAGCCATCTGTACTGTGTATCACAGATGCTCAAATCAACGCAAAAAAATGTGCACACGAACTTCTCTCAGTAGCATCTAAGTCTTTGAGCAATTTCTGAAAAACAAGAAGCGATACTGAAAAAATGAAAGAACAGTTAAATATGCAAAACAAAGTTTAAAATAAGACAGCATTTCTGTAATTACTTTCTTTTACAGTAATATCTGAAGCATATTACATATTGTGACAGTAAAGACTCTCAAGTTAAAACCAGGATTTCAAATGACAGCACCTCTGTCTTCAACTAAGCATTTACTTGAGTTTAATAAGCTGCACATAACTTTTCAGAACTGGAGTTTCAGGCGTAAAGTGGAATAAATTGCATGCTTCAGTGCTACCAAATCCCAAACCTTGTGAGAAACAAGGCATAGAATAAGAAAAAGAAAAGAAATGCAATGGTAGTAAGGACACCATTGCTACAAAACTCCAGAAAATAATGCTGCACAAGCCAAAGCAAGAATTACTGCTTTAACCAGACTGATTCACTAATTTTTTGGGTTATGAACCAAAACTATATTTGTATATTTGAAGAAAATCATCTGGTATGGCTTTCTGATATGGATACAGTACACATACCATCATCAAAGGAAGTTAATACTTAAGATGTCAGCCTCTACTCATCATTGTTGAAAAAAAAAATGTGCTATTATATATTTACTAAGAGTATTAAATCATAGTCATAGAATCAGCTAGGTTGGAAATGACCTTTAGTACTATCAAGTCCAATCTTTACCCCATGGGCAGCCAGTTTCTCCAGACCACTGTGTGAGACAGTGTCAAATGCTTTAAAAAGGCCCAAACAGACCTTATTAAATGTCTTAACAGACCTATTAAATATCTACAGCCTTTCCCTCTTCAACCAGGTGGGTCACCTTGTTGGACAAGACCAGGCTCAAGCAGGACTTGCCCCTCATGAACCTACTGTCATACACTAGCTCCTTTCAACAATTACTCCTCCACAAAAAAAAAAAAAAGAAAAAAAAGAAAAAGAAAGTGAAACTATCATGACTGCTTTCTAATTTTAGAGGACTGATCACTGAATGTAGACCACAGTTTTGTACACTCTAGTAAGTTACTTGTCACAGCAAAATTCAAGGATACTGTAAAGCAAAAGCACTGCCATTCTTCAGTTGTAAAGCTTAACTATGAAGTTGATAAACAAAGTCTGAAAAAAATCAAAAATGTTCTCCGCCAAAAGATGTCAAAGCAGGATATCATGAGTTCACACAACCACACTTCCACCTGTCGCAAGAACCAAACTCGAAATGTATGCTGCTGGTAACAGATCCGATTTTAAGAGTATTTTCTCCCTTCTATTTCTAAAACATATATACGGGCACAATCCAGCACCTCAGCTCTGCCGTTAGCGAGGCCTCACAGCACCATAGTATCAAGACGTGTGCCCTGGGCACTGCCCACTCCCACGGGCCCACCGTACAGGGAAGCACCTTCCAACTACCACGCCCGTTTTCATTTTTCACCTGAGCAAAGGTGACTGCACACTGCGTATGTGCAGTGCCTGCACGTCGCTCTGGGAAAATAACACGAACATGCTTACCTTGGACACCGACACTCTAACCTTTGGCCGTGCAAAACCCTTGCCTGGCCGAAGGCGACTAGGGGGCGAGCGCAGACCTTAGGCCTGCCGGACCGCCGCCCTAGCGGTCTACAGCGGCAAGAGGGGAACACGGGCCGGCTTCGCTAGGCACAACACCGGAGGGCACGGGCAGAGGAAACCCAGGAGGCGCAGAGCAGTCACCCAGCAGGCACCTCACACCTCGCCAGGGAAGGGAAGTGAAGGGAAGGGCGCTCACCCTCTGCCGACTCCAACAAGGGCGGGGCAGCCTCACGGCCCCCCTTGCCCTGCCGGGTCGCGGGAACACTTAGGCTCCCGTCACCGGGTCAAGCCCACACCACTTCCGGCCATAGGTGCGACTGCAGACTCCTGGAGGGAGGGAGTTATCGCGACAAGAGCGGTGCGGCGAGACTTCCTTCTTAAGGGAGCCCGCGGTGAAGGGCGAGGAGCAGGAAGTATCGCGAGGTTTGCTGGTCCTATCGCGAGAGGCTGGCGCGGCGGGGTGGTGCTGTGTGCCTCGTTGAAGGGGGGGGAGTGTTCTCCCTCGCCGGTCATGGGATTGTGTGGGGCCATCAGTAGCCGCGGTGCCGCGGCTCGAGGGGTACTCGGGTCAAGGGTGGCGAGCTTCCGGGAGAGACGCGCAGAGGGCTGGGAGTAAGTCGTGTCTGTGCTGTATTACACCCACAGGAGCGCAGCGAGGTGTAGGACGTGTAGGGGTGTTGTGCGAGTTAGCCGCTGCTGCAGGGTGCGGCGTTGCCCCTCAGTCTGCCCGCTGAGCGGGGCAGAACTATCCGGGGTGGAATGATTTGGCATCTTGACCCATACTGCTATACTGTAACGTGAGTTTCCTCCTAATGCAGCCCTTGTTTGTAACAGCATCTGGAAAGGATGTTGTTGCAAACGGAGTTAAAACAAGCCAAGAGCAAGTTATTTTGCATGAAGAATTTGCGCAGGTAAGGAAGTAGGGAAAGAAGCTGGTACCCTGCAGACGCTGCAGAGCCCAGCGATGGAGCTGGCGTGGTGGACAGAGCTGGCTGCGGTGAGGTAGTCAAAGTACAGTAAAACCCGATGTACCCCAGGAGATGGCACTTGGGGAACAGGCCTAAGTGAGAGGTCCACTGATGCCCGTGCTCCACTGCTGTCCACCTTCAGGAGAGCTTGGCTGGACATAGCAACGCTCTGCAAATTGTAAACTTGATCTGTAAGAAGCATATTGCTCTTGCTGAAAAAATTCAGACCCACCAAAAACCACCCAGATTGCTTCACATCTCAGTCGGAATTTAACAGAAAGTACATGAAGGAATGAATTTTCAGATCCATGTTACTAGCGTGGGTCTATGACAAAATGCTTTCAGATGTATCTAGCAGGCAATACTAAGTAGTTTCACAAGAGGTGTATTATGTGCAAATATAATGCAAGAAATATTTTTAAACCTTTAACAGTTTGGGATGAATCATTGCTTCTACTTATATTGTAAGTTCAGGCATTTTAGTGACGAGGGATTAAGCATTAGAGAAAAAAACTAGGATTCTTTTAGCATATGCAGTAAAACTATACAATGAAGATGGATATTCAGACTAGCTAATCAAAATCCTACATCCTACAGTATTTTCAGAAACCAAGGCAATAAATTTTCTAGTGCATGGGTCTCCATGCTTTTTCTGCATGCAGCTAACATTCAGGCAGCTGTCTGCCTGCTCGAAGAATAAAGAAGCCTTACAGAAACTGGAGCAGCATTATGTTGCTTCTTTAAGTCATCTGCTATTAGCCAGAATTTTGTTCTAATAGAAGTTAATGAAAGATGGATGGTGTTTGATCAACAAATTATATTAGACTAATGGGAATATAGCAAGCTTGAAAGCACCAATACAGTTGTTACGACAATAAACTGCATGAATATTGGGCACTGCATACGTTGGGGGAGGTTGTTCAACAATAAAACATAATATAGTACCAATAAATTACATTGTTTTAAAAATATACATGTCATCATGCACTTAACTATGTTCATGCCAAAAGAACATGGGAAGAGCCAAACAAACATTAAACCAAAGCAGAAAACAGGATGGCATTTCAGATCTTAAAAATCTGGCAAAATAAACACAATGTAACTTTACCATGACCTCAGATACTCAGGCTCTCAGATACTTATAGTCAGATACTTTGTATCTCAACCCTCAGAGCATCTTGTCAAAATCAGCAAGTACATAGGCTCCAATTCGAACACAAGCTATTGAAGCTATTAAACTGAATCATGTTTGAAGGTAAAGGTGTGTTTATACTACAAGGTGTTTATTTAATGAATGCTATGTTGCGTTTGACTCTTAGCAAGATGTTTGTGCTTAATAAAGACATTCTCATGCAGAATACAGCTGTTATTTTAGTCACAGATACAGTATTACAACTTCACAATAGAAGGAAATAAGAAACTTATTAACCTCTTGCTCAAACATGCTAATTTTTCTAATAGGCAGGTAAATTCTGCCTGCACTCCAAGAATCCCATTCTGCTTTTATGTCAGTGGTAAGACCTCAGTTGGTTAGCTGGAAAGAGAATTGCTCCTGAAAATCCCAATGAAGTCACTAGGGTGAGTCTCCATTACAGTTGTTAGGTACGCTCTTGATGCTCTTCCCCTCAGGAGGGAGATTATTAAAATTCCTCTCCCAAATTAAGAGCAGTTTCTGTGTCTTTGCTTAGCTTTGTTAAAAAAAAAAACAAAAAAAAACAAAAAGACAAAAAAAACCAAACAAACAAACAAAAAAAACAAGCTAGAAAACAAGATGGCCCAGTAAGATTAAGCCTTTTTTCATGCAGTACCCTTACAGGACCAGGCCCATAACAAAAATGTTTTCAGGGGGTAGAGAATTCTTTAGCTCTGTCATGTACCTTTAAAAGTTTCTGTGATATAAAAGTCCATCTTTCAGGAATCTTTCTAGCACAAGTTAGAAGTTATCTGCTGGGATGCAAAGAATGTCTCACACCGTGTTCGTTCAGGGAATGATTTGTAAAAGGATTTCATTTTGAAAAGCTGTTGCCATTACTGAAAAGTTGAATATATCCAAAACCCTTATTAAAATTTGAACTCTGCTCATATTTGACTTAGTTTAGATTTCATAAGAGGAGTGTCAGGCTCAGATAACAACCAAAATGAATTGGATGATGGAGATAAGCACTTTTTAAATATGTGCTATATCCCTGAAAGCATTTCACATGTAACATTGTGGCCTTCCTGTTCACTCTTCTTTGACAGAGAGAGGAGATAAATTAACTGATGTGCATCTAAAAAGAGCAGCTTAGTTACATTTACAGCATCCTGCATGTCAGTATGTCTGAAAACAAAGCAAGCTGGTGATTCTCAGATGCACTCAGCATTTGCAAGCCTGAAAGCCTTGGAAGGTACAGGCACTTAGAATTTTTGAAAATGTCATTCAGTTGTTTAATTCTACAGTAGAAGAAAGAATAGGTGGTTCAATTCACTGGTATGAATTAAGCATGGAAGCATTAAGGGTGCTACAAAGAGTTTATAATGGGATGTGCACTGAATTAGCGTGTTGGAAAGGTTTTGGTCTCTC